TCATGTGGGATCTTGTTTTGTGCATAAAAACACAAGGAATATTATGGTGAAAAAAGAATATATTATTGAGTGGATATTAGCATTTGAATCTTGATTATCTAAATACTATGAACTGCATGCATTCAATGATCGCTTGACATCTCAGGCTTTCAAAAGTGGCGGGCACTTACATATGTTTTGAAAGACTAGACATTGTGATTTTGTGAATGGTCAGGCTAGCGCCCGGACATCCGGACGGGACTAGAGTTAGGACGCCTACGCCCCCGCGTGGGCTTGCTGTTGCACCAGCCCGCACGTCTGTGCCTACTTCCCGCGCCTACATGCGCCCACACAGGGGGCTGCATCTCGATCTACGCCCGCACCTATACCTAGGCATCGGGCCGGCCCGGCCCGGCACGGCACGATGGCTATCGGGCCAAGGAGGCACGCCGTGCCCTGCGGGCCGTGCCTCATCGGCCTGCAGGCCTGGCCTTGCCGTGCACGCGCACTGTGGGCCATTTTTTCGTGCCGTCTTTGGCCCGTGAGGCACGGCAAAAATAGCGAGCCGTGCCTGACCCACAGCCCGTTAAATCTAAAACACCTCCAAATAAACATCTCAATCCATTTAAATATCAAAAAGAGCTGTTTTGTGCAATGCTACCTCATTAAAAACATACCTAGGTAAAACTCACCCTTGTGAGAAACCCTAGGCAGGAAAAAAGAGTGCAGCCAGCTCCAAATGTCTTAATCTTACGTAGTTATTACAGACCATTGTTCAAATGTTCAAATGAAAACTAAGCAAGTGAGTGAGGGACACATCCACTCTCAACTCACACAAAAGTACTCCAACACTCCCAGCCAACCAATGCCACTCTTAGCCACGGATGCATCATCTTCACCTTACGGTTCATCCAGAATGATTCTCGAATGCATCTTCAATTTCCTTGGTATCGCTGACTTCATGTTGTTCCCTCTTCTCTCCTAGCTCCCAATCCTTCAACAAGGTCAGCATCTCAACATGTTCTGGTTTCAAGCTCTGGTGCCGTTCTTCTAGGATCTCCCCTGCTAAGGTGAAACAAGACTCGAAGAACAAGTGGAAACAGAATCGACATGATATCTCCGCCATAATAGCCGAGGATGGGATAGGTTAGTTTGTGGTCCTTCCACACGAAGAATGTCAAAACCATCCTCATAAGCGTTATGCACGATCATTTGTCCAAATAGCTTGAAAGTTTAGAAGCAGTAGAGTGAGAAGAAGAACAGACAGTGCCACTGGAAGGACCAGGCAGACCTGATCCTCCAAAAATTACCCCCCAAGCCTGTTTTCTCTTACCAGTGGGTGGGGTAGGACCAGCAACCCTTTGTGAACTGGTTGCACCAAACTTTCTCAAATATTTCTCAAACATTTTATGCAACTCAGTTTTCAAATCAGCATAGTAAGTAGTGTAATCAAGTACCAAAGTATATTCAAGAAGTAAATGGAGGACCCTTTGCATACCTCTGAGCTTAGCTCTAGGGTCAAGAATGAATGCAAATGAGTATAAGAGAGGAATGTCCTTCCAATACTTAAGAAATTTATGCTGCATAGGGTACACAAAGGGTCTAAGATTAACATCCCTTTCACATGCATGCAAATGGGTTGCAATCTCCGAACATGGAAAAGCACAAGAGGATCTGGTAGGATAATAAACACAGACAAAGGTGTGAGAGAGCCATAAAATACTTCTAGGAACTTCAATATTTTCCCAGCCACGTGCCAATGGGCTGGAGACAACAGTGCAGAACCATAATTTGAATTTATGAACACAGAAAATACTTCACTGTAAGGAACCAAGTGTTTTAGCATGAGATAAGTAGCATTCCATCTAACATCCATGTCTAAGCCAAATTTTCTAGGTCTCATACCTTTAGCTTCACAGTAGTTTCTAAACATAGCAATTCTTTAATTAGAGGAGTTCAAGAAATTAATTGCAGTTCTAAAATCCTCTATATAAGGTTTGATTCTTTTTAGTCCAGATTTGACTATCAGATTAATAATGTGACAAGCACAGCGTTGATGCACAAGACTATAACCAGGTGCAGGATCATTAGGTGCAGGATCACAACCAAGATAACCAGCAAACATGTGTGTCAAAGTTTCCATAGCCTTAGCATTAGAAGATGCATTATCTAAAGTGATAGAAAAGATTTTATCAACCAAGCCATACTCCTCAACAACAGATGCAATGGAAGCAGAAATGTTTTCACCAGAATGCTTAACTTGAATCAACCTAAGACCAACAATCTTCTTTTGCAATTCCCAATCAGCATTCACATAGTGAGCAACAACAGATATGTAATCCTCTTTAGCATTACCAGACCATATGTCAGAAGTCAAAGCAACAGATGCAGAAGCATGCACACAGTTCCTAATCATAGCACGACGTTCAGCAAATAAATTATCCAGATCTCTAGTAGTGGTTCTTCTAGATGATCTAACAAATCTTGGGTTATGAGAATTTTTAATATATTCCTCAAATGCATTAGTGTCACCAATACCAAGAGGAAGATCAAGCCTAGCAATCAATCTACACAGTTCAGTTATAGCAACAGTAGGATCATAGTTCCAATTATGCAAAGACCCATCAGCATTAAAAGCTAGTCGAGACTGAACCCTAGAAGCATTATCAAGTTTCTGTTTGCAAGATTTTTGGTGCCTAAGAATGTGACCAGTACCAACAGCAGATCTAGCACTCAACACAGTTCTACACATCTTACATATAGCTCTAACACGCACATCGACACCATTAATCTTCTCATAAACCTCCTCAAAGTCACCCCAGCACTTAGACTTGCGCTTACCAAGTCCAGAAACAGCACCAGAGGAAGGAGTAAGAGTACCATTACCATCAGCATTACCATTAACACCAGTGTAGTTGGAGTGGGTGTTGGAGTCCACCGTCCCTGTCCCCGTTGCCCCTGCATCGACGGCATCGACGTCGATCGCCGGCTGTGTCCCGCGGGTGGCATCATCAAACACCGCAAAGGGGTCACACGGCCGTCGTCGTCGTGCTCGGGGACAGCCCACTGTGACCAAGTCATCGCCGATCCACGAGGAACATGGCACCGTCGCCCTGCGGGTCACACGCCATGGGGCCCTCGGCCGCGGACGGCTGAACTCCAGCACCGTTCCTCAACGGCTTGTGGCTACGGCAGCATGGCGGTGCCGTGCCGTCGTCTGCGTCACGCCAAGGCTAGTTGACGACGAGGCATCGGCAAAGCAGACACTGCAAAAAAAAAAAACACGAAAAGAAGAAAAGGATGAGAAAATGATCCCAAAAATGAATCAAAACACCGAGAAGCGTATAGATCTAGGGGCTAGGGTTAGGGTTACGAATGGGGATGGACTTGCTCGCAAACAGAGCCGGATGAGAAAATGATCCCAAAAGCAGAATCAAAACACCGAGAAACATATAGATCTAGGGGCTAGGGTTAGGGTTACGAAATGGGATGGACTTGCCTGCATAACCGGAGCTCGGCGCCCGAGAGAAGACGAGGGCCACACAAGGGCAAGACAGGATTAAGAAGACGGCGAAGCAGCGGCGGAAGAGAGCGGGAGGCGGACTCACATGTTCATCGACAAGCAGAGGAGAAGGAGTAAAAGGAAGGCGGAGAGGGACCGAGGGGCAGGTAACTCGGGGAGAGGTGATGGGCGGCGGCGATATCACCGGATCAAGGACGACAGTTGCACCAGTGGCGAAGATGGATCGGCGAGAGGAGGCGAGTGGCTGACAAGCGACCGAGCGCGGGTGTCAGTCGGGTTGCGGTTGGGAGGCGAATGGGGTTAGGGTTAGGGTGGGGTGGGGGGCGGGGGTCGCGGTTATATGGGGAGCCGGGGAGGAGGCGGGAGGGAGGGGCGTTCTTGGGCCGCCGGCCTGCTTGCCTGCTTGCGGGCCGTGCCGTGCCGGCCTGTGGGCCTAGGGTGCGGCCCAAGCACGGCTGCACCCCGTCTGCGTGCCGGCCGGGCCCATTGACCGGGCGGGCGGGCTAGGGCTAGGGCCAGGCCTAAATAGCGGGCTCCGTGCCGGGCTCACGGGCTCGGGCTTTGTGCCCAGATATACCCGCACCGTTTCCCGCACTTACCGCTGGTGCCCGTCGACGCGAAGCTCGATGCCATGGATCAGTGTGGAGCTCATTAGCGGCGTGCAGAGCTCAGCAACGACGCGTGGATGTCGGTGGTGCGGAGCTCGCCACCAACACAGGGCTGCTTGGTTCCTGGCAACGGCTTGCTTTGCCTTGCACGGGAAAAGAGAAGCTTGCCCGCCTGGGCGAGCCGATTTGGCTCTCCAATGCGGGCAACGCAAATCCTGCCAGCACAGAACTCAAAGCAAGTAGACAAGACATCCAAGCACACAATGGATCGCTGTATCCTTGCTCAGCGAGGTAATACAGTACCAAGAGGTGGGACCAAGCAGCTCCTTAGTCTCATTAGTCACCACAGGCTGTCATGCTGCAATCGCGAGTGATTATTATACCAGAACTTCTGAGATTTAGTTTGTCTATACACTTCGGAAACTCCGGCCCGGTGCTGAAAACGATGAGAAGGATGGTTGCTTGATGGATCACATGGTAGCCTGAAATTGTTCTATTTTCTAATGTGCTGTTTTTTTTATAAGGGACATAAAATGTTCTTTATACTCCGTATAAGAGAATAAAAAAACGTGCTATTGGATTACGAAGAGCAATTCTGATGGAGTCTCTTCTTGGGCCAAACACTCAGATCGGTCTTCAACCCGGGCAAAACCGCAACGCAAAGCCCAGCATCCCTATCAGTCTTAACGTTGTAGTGCGTGATCCTGCGAAGGCTAGTGTCTCTCATCCTCCACGGCACCACCACCAGCTCACGCGCCCATGCCACCGCAGCGGCGCACGCGGCCGCCACCAAAGCCGGCCACGCGGCGGACGTCTTCCTCTCGAACCACCTCATCGTCACGTACGCGAGGTCCGGCCTCCTCGAGGCCGCGCGGAGGGTGTTCGGTGAAATGTCGCGCCGGAACCTCGTCTCCTGGTCAGCGCTCATCTCCGGTTGCGCTCAGGCAGGGAGGCCGGATCTGGCGCTGGAGCTCTTCGCGCGGATGGGAGACGTGCGGCCGAACGAGCACGTCTACGCCAGCGTGGCGCGCTCCTGCGCCGCCCTGCAGGTGCACGCGCACGCCGTCAAGAGCGGGTTCCTGGTGGGCGCGTCCTTCGTGGCCAACTCGATCGTGTCGATGTACATGAAGTGCGGCTGCTACGAGGCAGGGTACGACGTATTCAGGTCGCTCTCAGAGCCCAACCTCGTATCGCACAACGCCCTGATCTCCGGTCTGGCGGCGAGCTCCCAACAGGAGATGGGTTTGGATGTGTTCAGGCTTATGAAGCTGCGCGGGCTGCGTCCTGATAGATTCTCGTACGCTGCTACTCTTGTAATCTGCAGCAAATTGGAGGATTATAGCATTGGGGCAGCTTTGCATTGCGACACTGTCAAGATTGGACTGGACGTGACCGCTTTTGTGGGCAATGTCATCTTGGGCATGTACTCGAAACATGGTACCATCGCCGAGGCAGAGCAGGTGTTTTTGTCTGTGGAAGAGAAGGATGCTGTCACTTGGAACACCTACATTGCTGCACACTACCAGCGTGGTGTCCACATGGAAGCTCTTAAGCTTTTCAAGGACATGGTGGATGCGAGCGTTTGTCCTGACAACTTCACGTTCGCCAGCGTGCTAGCTTGTGGGAGCTCTCTCTGTTCCGGCATGGCAGTGAAGTTCATGGCCACCTCATCAGAAGCAGGGATGATGTCGATGTCGCCGTGAGCAATGCGGCCATGAGCATGTACGCAAGGTGTGGTCAGATGGTGTTTGCGGCTCGCGTGTTTGATCGATCGCCAGATCACAACTTGCTTTCTTGGAACACACTGATCTCTGGGTTCAGCAAACAAGGCCATGCCACGGAAGCCATCAACGCCTTTGATCGGATGAAGGAAACTGGGATGGCTCCGGACTCGATCACATTCACTGGCCTTCTAGCTGCGTGCAACCATGCCGGACTGGTCAGCCAAGGCATGGAGTATTTCAACTCCATGGGCCGAACATACGGCGTCTCACCGAGAGCCGAGCACATCTCTTGCGTAGTTGCGTCATCGATCTTCTGGGCAGAGCTGGGAGGTTGAAGGACACTGAGGGACAAGTCCAGGCATCGGCGTTCCGCGACGACCCCGTAGTCCTGGGCAGCCTGCTCTCCGCCTGCAGGGTCCATGGAGACACGGACGTCGGCGGCAGGGTTGCCGAGAGATTGCTGGCGCTTGGTCCGGCGACGAGCTCGCCGTACGTGCTGCTGTCGCACCTGTACGCGTCGGGCGGGAGGTGGGATGGTGTTGCCGAGGCTTGGCGGATGCTCAAGGACGGCGCGGCGAAGAAGAAAGACGCCGGCTGTAGCGCCGTTGGTTTCAGATAAGTGATGATGGTGCCCTGCCCCCGTGTTGGACAATTGGAGAAGCTGAAAACTGAAGTGTTTCGCGTTTCACGCGTTCTGCTGATTGCTGAAGAGCTATCTCCTGTTGCTGATGCCGGCAGCTGGCAGGGATGTGACTGCCACGGCCACCGAGTGGCGCCATGGACGAGCAATTGCGCGAAGCTAACGGCCCGTGGCGAGACAATCGTGTTGGCGCTGGCCGACGCCCCGCCCCGGTCTCCGGCTCTGGAGGTTCTGGTGCATTCAGACAGAGGCTTTTGACCCTGAACCGTTTTTGGCCCCTAATTGTTATCCACTCCAGACCTCCAGTACTCCACGTCTCCACCAAGCCGGCGGACCGAACGCAATCAGGACGGTCTCGGTGCTAAAAAGGGAACCTCTGTAACACCGTTGGGTCATTGGTTGTTCACAACTACACTTTGGTTTTAGGAGCAAACATATACCATGTCTTGTTGCGCAGTCACCTATGCAATTTGTAGTTTGGAGATGTAGGTCCTTTTGGCTTGAGCTTATCAGCCAGAATTAGCACTATTTTTCAGCCATGGAATATTGTTTTTCTCTTCCAATAAATCAGCATCAGCCGCAGCCGCAGAAACCATTAGCCGAACAGGCCGGTATACAATAATCGTGTTATTATTCTAATACATTTTAAAATCAAACTTTGTATTGTGACTAGACACGCATAGTACTAAACATGATCTTGTGTTGAATTGGATTGTGCAGGTTTTGAATTGAAAAAGTGACCTCATGTTAGGTCTAGATTCAAAAAATGTGGAAAACAAGAGAGATGTGAACGGAGAAGAGTAAGGTATGATGGAATAGACTGGCAGACCATAAATGTGGGAGAGTATCCAAGGAATAAGTTGGTTGGCTTTCATCGTGGGGATCTCGACCTTTTCTTTTGGTCTGTTCTACAGCAAAGTCCGACATCTTCAACACGCTGTTATGATGATGAAGGATTGTAAGCCCGTGTCTTTTGGAAGTTTTCTCCCGCCGATGTTCTTTCATTGTGTTCTAGACCTCGTTGTCAACGGCGAGTGACTTTTTCGGTCTTCAAAGCCTTATTTGACGAGGGTGTTTGTATGTGTTCCTTTTCTTTGCTGTCTTTCACAGTGCGATCTTCAAACTCCGGCAGTTAGTGGAGGTCCGAAGGAGAAAGACAACCGATTTGTTATTTGATGTACTATTATTTTTTATAGGTCGTTTTTCTGTTTTATTGTCCATCTTTTATACTAGTCCATGTTTTCCTTGCAATGTATTTTATGTGACACTCGTTTGAGTGTCTTTATCAAAATAAAAATGTGGGAGAGAAGATTTTCTTCTTTAAATATTAGATAGATATTGAAATTGATATGCTTTCCTTCCGTTTTATTGAAATAATTTTTTTTAATAAGCACCTTAGGGGAGAGTGTCCCCACCTGGATATATTCGGAACTGGTCCTGTTAGTCCAGCAAAGGATTACATGGTTATTACATCATGTTGGACGGAGTCATTAAAGTAGTGACATGTTAGTAAGGAAACATTTTTTGTTGTTGTTGTTTTGAGAATGGAGGGCGATATAGCGCGACCGGTCGCGGGAAAAGGCGAGCGCGCGACCCTCCGCCCGGCATCGCTGCGATCCCCACTCCTGTCCGGCCGTCCTCCGCTCCCTGCTGCATGTGCGGATGTGTCCGATAATAGTGCATGCAAGCTGATGCAAAAGCCGACGTAAGCAAACAAAATAAAAACATTTTCTTTGAATTGCTATAACTTTTGAATGGTTCATCCGTTTTTAGTTCCGTCTATACTGATATGTTCTACATGACAAGACGAATAAAACTAGACCCACTTGCATATGTTTCGAAGAATATTTTTAGTAGCAATTTATGCTTAAATATGTGCTAAGGGATTTATTAAAGGAGTTATTACTATATAATACTAAAGTTGCTACTCAAAAACATACTAAAGTTTTTGCCACATCGTTGTTATCATGGGAATATAATAAATTTGGTATATATTATTTAAATAAAGGTACTAACCCCTAAAGACACTACAGACCAAAACAAGACAAGCTGCAAGCTAGATGGGTAAATTCTTTTTGTGTCTAACTTATGTGTGCGATAACTACCCTTTGGTAACAACTTATACACGGTAGGTGAGGCAACTAATATGCAGGATTTAGGAAGACAATCGAGCATAAAAGGGTGACTGAAATTTGAAAATAAAAAAAAAAAAAAAGAAACTAAAACTAAAAAACATTAAAAAACTTGACTGAAAACTGAAACTAAAATAATTTGACTGAAAACTAAAAGAAACAATTTTGCAAAAAAAAAGAAAGAAATATTCTATGCAAGTTATGTGGCAACTTATATTCTAAGCTAGTAGCAAGTTATTCTCTGGGCAAGTGACAAGATACCGTGAAAATGACAAATTCCGAGTATTATGACTTCCAAACACTACAAGCTACATGACCATCGCAACAACTTCTCACCGTGAAATGCAAGTGACAACAACATAAAGTAGGAAAGACCATAGGTTCTTCAACTACATGATAAATTTTGCTTGCCTAAAGAGTCCCGAAACAAAACAAGCTACAACCAGGTAGGAGGGGGGGGGGCAAATCATTAAAACAAGCATTACATAAGCTGCCAACTTGGAAGCAAGTTATTATACCCATTGCAACAATCGGAATAATGCCTAGCTGTCTATGCTAGCTGCCGCCCCTAATCCCAACCAAACAACAAACACTAAAACTAACCTAATTTGTGATCCCTAATCCTAACATATGTTGCGGATCCTAATCCCAGTACTTGCCTTTGGAGGGTTGGACAACACCCTGTTATGAGTATAAGTGACATGGTGGTGATGCCTCATTATTGGTTCGAGTGGTAGAAACCGAATTCGGTGCGTATGTGACAATTAGAAGTGTGGTGCTAATCACACCTAATCAGTATGCCTACTGTAAATCTAATTGGTATGTGTATTGTAGCGCCGCTAATCAGCATGGGTGAATGACCATGTGTAGCTGAACTATCAACATAAATAGTTACACACTTAATACATAACTAGCTAATTCTATATAATATAAGTTGCCAGTATATAAAAATTGTTATAAAGCATATGCATCATGGGTCTACTTTTGTAGATCTCATCGTAAGAAACGCAACGGTGCAAACGAAATTAAAAACGAACATTTGGTAAGAAAGTTATCCTATTTTAAATAGTTTCTTTTGAACATCTATTTTAAATAGTTGAATGGCTTAGTTGAAAACTCCAATTAGCATCTTACGTGAGCATGTGCTGGTTGCCTCGTATTGTAGGGCCAAAAGCCCAGATCGGATAGCACACTCTTATCTAGCATATCTTTGTGGGCTCCGCCTTGCCTCTCCCTGACGTCGCTACCGAGCTAGGCCAGGCCTCCAGCCTGCTTGCGCGCTCGGCGCCGAGCGCGACCGGTAGCGCGTTAGACTTTGCGTTTGAGAATCAGCAAAGGTAACAAATGGTGTTGTGAACTCCCTCACGGAGCGGAAGCCAAGTCCAGACGCCAAAACTGGGCCGCCGATAGCGCCACAGCGGGCCAGGCCAGTCCAGTCCAGGAAGTCCACATGGTTCCACTCCGTGTAGCGTACACGAGTACGGCAAGGCGCCGTTCGCACTAAAGATGGCAACGGAGGCCCGATACCCGATACCCGACGGGTATTTGATCCATTAGGGAATGGGGATGGGATCATATCTTTACCCGTGGGTATTTAAATGGGTAAAAATTCATCCCCGATGGATATAGCGGGTACGGGATCGTTTCCTGTTTACTCGTCCCCGTTACCCGTTAGGGAACCCGACTATTTGAGCTGTCATGCGAATATTAGGCCCAAAGATGCTCAACATAGGTATTTTGGTCCAAATCTAAACAATCATATATATATAGTTTGTGTGTTCTAGGAATCCTAGTTCAATTTTTTCTCATCATCTCCGCTAGCGGCACAAGCATGCCTGCCTCATGAGCGCTCGTGCCCCTCGCTTTCTCAGTTCGGTCTCTCTGCCACCTTTGCTCGTCCTCCTCGCAACTTCGCTCCTTCTCCTCGACATCTCCGAGACTCCGACACTTATACCCGGGTGAAGAAGAAACGTCTTCGATTGCAAAGCTGCGACCCCAAGTGTCTTTGTTTATCGGGTATGCAGTACCCGTCGGGTATCTATTACCCGACCGATGCCCGATGGGTATAGGGATGAGACAATAAATTCGCGAGAAAGAGAACGTTCCGGCGATACCGACGGTTACATCCCCGTTGCCATATATGGTTCGCACGCGAAGTCCGCCTCTGGCTCTGCCTCTGATCCCTCCTCCCCTCCCGGATTCCACCAACCCGTGTCCACCCACCCCGCCGTCCCGCCCCTCTCTGTGCCGTCCTCGGCATTCGCCCTCTCTACCTTGCGTGCCTGCCTCTACTACCTGCTGACACGGCGGCGCGGGTCGTGCTCGCTCGACGCCACGGGCTCTACGCCTCTACCCCTACCCGGGATCATCTGCTGCTGTCTGCTCGCCCTCTCCTCTGCTCCTTCAGCCCCATCGGAGATCCGCCCTGGCGTTTCCTCCCGGTAAGCCCGGCCACGGTCAACCTCCAATTCTCGTCTGATTCATGGAAAACCATTCTGGGTCCCGCGCAGATCATCTTTAATTTCTAATTTCTTCTGGGATCGATGAATTAGCCGCCTTGTTTAGGTTTGGCAGAACACGTACCGTGCTCTGTCAAATTCGAGCCTTTTGCTATTATTAGATATTTAGATGGGTCGTGAATTTTAGGACCGTGGGTGTTTTTTTTCCTTTGGGGGAGATGGAGATTTTGAAGTTAAATTCATGGTCCTGCTTGAGATTTTTTTGGGGGTTGAGTCCCTACATAGGGGTAGAGATAGTCGATAAAATGAAATGTGTATGCTATTGATAGTTTTTCTTATTTCAATGTTGCCCAAGCCAACATTCCATATGGTTACAATCTCTTTCTTGTTTATTGGTGTATGTGGGGATTTGCCCCTCATTGTCTCAGTAATGACCTGTGGAGTTTGAGCCTAGGGCCACATGCCATGATGCGACTGGCAAACCTGTGAACACACATTGTGTGGCAGTGATGTTGACTTTCTCAAAAACTTGGGTTTGCAGGATGTGTTCATTTTCACGTATTTGCTCGCTTTGTTGGAAATCCTTTTTATGATGCTTTTTAAATGTTTGTGGCATATTAATCACATTTTTAGACTTGAGCTTTGCTACTATATTTATCTCAGACTTATATTGAAGCTCATAGAGCTCCTATTTTCAAACCCTGTTTCAGCAACTATTGATGGATTAGAGATGTAAGACTGCTTCTACTATTTGGTTTGAAGAAAGCAAGTTCAGATGGGCTCCATTCTAAGTGCGGCAAGTACTACGGCTAAGTCTATGGATCAGCATGAGACATCTGGGACATATCCTAATAAGAGGGTGAAGGTATCTACTTATGAGTATGTGTCGAACCCAAGGATTATCCCGACTCTTCCTGACGAGCTCTCACTCCAGATTCTGGCAAGGTTACCACGGATCCATTACCTTAATTTGAAGATGGTTTGCCGAGCTTGGAAGGCAGCAATCATCGGTTCTGAACTTTCTCAGCTGAGAAGAGAGCTTGGCGTAAGTGAAGAATGGTTGTATGTACTGACCAAAGTTGAGGCAAACAAGCTCCACTGGTATGGCCTTGATCCAGTGTTTCAGAAATGGCAGAGGTTGCCACCGATGCCTTCTTTTGTCAATGAGGAGGAATCCAATAGGACGCCATCTTCTGGGTTCCGGATGTGGAATGTCGTGGGATCAAGCATTAGGATTGCTGATTTTGTTAGGGGCTTGTTTTGGCGCAGGAACAGTTTGGACCAGATGCCCTTTTGTGGTTGTTCAGTTGGTGTTGCTGATGGTTACTTGTATGTCATTGGGGGTTTTTCCAAAGCTGTTGCCCTGAACTGCGTTTGGAGATACGACCCTTTTCTCAATTTGTGGCAGGAAGTGAGCCCAATGATCACAGGACGGGCTTTCTGCAAGGCAACATTTTTGAATGGCAAGTTATATGTAGTTGGTGGAGTCAGTAGGGGTCGGAATGGTTTGCTTCCTCTGCGTTCAGCTGAGGCGTTTGATCCCAAAACTGGATTGTGGAGTGAGCTACCAGAAATGCCTTTCGCAAAAGCACAGGTACTTCCCACAGCTTTCTTGGTCGATGTGCTGAAGCCTATCGCCACAGGAATGGCACCCTACAACGGAAAGCTGTATGTTCCTCAGAGCTTGTACTCATGGCCATTCTTTTTTGACATTGGAGGTGAGATCTATGACCCAGATCTGAATGCTTGGTCAACGATGCCTGATGGTCTTGGCGACGGATGGCCAGCAAGACAGGCAGGCACAAAATTGGGTATTGTGATCGATGACAAACTTTACACCCTGGAGCCTTCCAGCTCTTTGGACAGTGGTCAGATAAAAAGATACAACTCCGAAGAGGACACATGGGTAACTATCTCGCCACAAGTTCCGGTTAATGATTTCACTGATGCAGAGGCCCCTTTTTTACTCGCCGGTCTCCGTGGAAGGCTCCATGTTATAACAAAGGCGGCGAACAACACTCTTCAAGTTATGCAGGCTGTAGTACATAATAACTCGGATAACGCAGTATCTGAAGAAAATGTGGTATGGACCACTGTGGCTTCTAGGAACTTTGGGACGGCTGAGCTTGTCAGCTGCCAGGTTCTAGATGTTTAAAATGTGGGTCACAAGTTATACTTTGTAGAGCATATAGTAATATCATAGACCATCGTTTTAACCAACAAAATATATAGTTTTTGTTTTTGTCTTTTGTGTGTGTGTGTGGAACAAGCGTTTAATTTGATCTGGAGAGAGATCAATTACAGATATGTGTAACTGTATAAGTTAACTCAGTTGCTGGGACACAGTGTGTATAGACATACGATCGACATGTTAATGTACAGTGATCAATTTTAGTTTCCATTTAACATGTTTCTGATCCTGAACTTCTGGGAGATCCTTCAATCCATTCCAAGGCGGTTGATGATCCTTCATTCCATTCCAAGCCGTGTCTTATATGGTTGATGATACTAAGTTTCTTCCTTTTCTCGGTGGGCACTTGCAAGGCTGCAACTATCTTGTACTCCCAGTGACCTTCTCAGTGCGCAGGAGTCCTTTGGGTTCGAGAAAAAAAAATGATGACTTTAGTATCCGTTTCTGCGCCTTATATTTTGTATTACATATCCTATCCAAGCATCCATGCCAACATGTGGCACCCCTGTGACTTCCGGTTCCAGATTACAACTATCACCATGGTTTGGTGATGCCGACCCGTAATGTCCGGCAAGCATGAGAGCATGGTGTGCACTGTGCAGATCCGGTTCTGCCAGCAAGCATGGCGAGTGCCAATTTCTTTCATTCTCTGAACAAGCAAGCCGCGTCAGCTGTCTCAACCTGCGTGCCAAATGCAACGGACGGACGGCACTTGTCGTTTGTTCACTCTGGTTGGTGCAATGGAAAGTCCAAGCGCACGCAGCGTCAGCAGACATGGGGGGCGAATTGCGCTCGGTTGCCGGCGTTATGGAACGAACAACACGTCTCGATGCCGTCCACAGCTTTTGTTACTCGCTTCGAACGCCGTCGGTCGAATGTCATTCGTGACGACTAGAAAACTTGAGGTGCGGCACGCTTCGAACGCCGCCGGTCGAATGTCATTCGTGACGACTAGAAAACTGAGGCGCGGCGTTGCCGCGCCACTTTGAGCTTGCCCAGTGGAGAGCCAAGCCTGTACCGAGTTAACGCTGCGCCAGCTTGAGGTAATCCAGTGGAGAGGTCTGGCTCGATGTCCATTAAAGATTTGGCTGAAGGGATGTTAAAAGTACTGCTATTACGTTAAGAAAACATTTGTTTTATTCCATGAGATCGATGTGCTGAGAAAGAGAAATATTTTCAAGACTTATATTCAGTTTTAGCACCATTGAATAACATTCAGGCTGAGTGATAACGGAAAAGGTTATATATAAGTAAGAGCATAAAAGCTCAGAACATTTGTTTCAGAAAATGTGGTCAATATAAGAGTATAAAACAAAAGTGAGCTACTGATTACTAAAGGATGGGATCAACTGAAACCGAAAAGGTGCATCACTAATAAAGTGCAGTTTGCTAATGGTCAGATATAACAGCCGCATCTTGAAAAGGTTTCGGATGTTCTAACCTGATATCATCAGAACATTTGTTTCAGAAACTGAGATCATCAGAACATTTGTTCTAACCTCATGTCAGCCTCTAAACATTGACCTAAATGATATTTGTTTCAGTGAACCTGATTTCATTGACTGAATGTCTGAATTGAACATAAAAAACTGCAGCCAAAGTTAATTTTTCAGTCAACCTGATATCATTGATTGAATCAAAGTAGCAGCTCAATGCTGCTAAAAACAAGGAATCAGTAGCACTCAGCAAATCGCTCCTTGTAATCAAAATCTGATATCAAAGTTGAACTTTTTAGTGTTTTACTGAGAATTATTGATACTGTGCAACTGTTTAGCTGTAAAAAAACATCAACTGTGATATTTGTGGTGAGTTCCATAAATTTGAAAGAGTGAAAGTACATTGCAATGGCCATACCATTTCAGCAAGATAGGAGCATAAAGTACATGTTAACAAAAAAATTAATTGGAAATAGTGCAGATCCCTAATTGTGGAAAAAGATTTGCCTAATGGTATGGAAAACACATATATTGTTCTGCCGGATCAAGTGTTGGGTTGTCATCTTGCATCTTGCATCTTGCATTGCTCAACTTGAAAGGCAGTACCGCTTGCTGATTATAGTCACATTTGTCGGGGGGCCTCTCAGTACAGCATGCAACTTGGTGAACGACAGATGGAATCAAGTTCCTTAGTTAAATATGAGTGAGCAGCATCAAGGGGAAAACACCTCTAAATTAAACATGAGCAACTGGCCTCTAGATTTTTGAAGTTGACTATCCAGATATATAAAAGTGAAGGTAAAGAGAAGTGATAGTTGAAACATGACTATCCATCGTTGAGTGATGATCAGTGTATTTGTTTGGCAGTGAAATTGAGGAACTACAAATAGAGACAGATCAACTAAAAGATGAATATGTCAACCATCACCATCCTAAAAACATGTCAAGCCATGTTGGTAGAGCAAGCTTTATTAATTCAGTTTCTTTGTTAAATAGAGTCCAAGGCTTCAAATTCATAAATTCCATCAAGGCATTTTCTCGAGCAATTGGTATGCAGGCAACATTTGCAGAAAGTAATCATGTGATAGCATTTATGTGTATCTTAAGGATACCAGTTGTAGCAAGCTAGTAATTTCTATTGTACCAGCAGGAAGTTAACTACAAACAAATGACAGGAGAGAAGGGGGTACGAGAGTATTGTTCTCCCAGTGTACCTTATCCAGTTATCCTGCTCCATTATGACCTACGAACTTTGGCCCGTGGTCACCGGCGGCAACGGCGCATCCCGGGCTGCGCCACCCTCTTCTTTCCCGTAGATTTTGCAGTAGCATTTCGCCCAGCTCTGTGGCAGATGGCACGCACGACATCCTCCCGAGCTCCTTTCTGTTCGTCTCTCCCTTCTTCCTCCCCACCACCGCGTGTGTAGCAGATGCTCATCACTGTGGGGGCTGCACTCGCCTCGGCGGCTGGTGCTGGTTGCCTGCATCATCACGCATTCACGCGTGGCTTGTGACGGCACCGTGCTCCTGCGCCCGCTAGCCCAACCATCTCGGTGCGGGTCTTCCACTTGTGTCTCTGCCGCTTCGAGGATGGCCTCCACCTTGCGTTGCTGTGGAAGGGGTCAGGCCCCGGACGAGGGCCGTGGTGAAGGGAGACGCAGGCGGCGAGGCGTATAGAGTGAAGAGGCCAGCGGATATGGTGGCGCCGCTAGTTGGCGCATGCTCGCCGCCGCGGTCACCGGCCAGCGCTTGCAGCAGAGGCAGCTCGCCTCGGGGATCAGGCTGAGCTGACACGGTCGAGGAGGGAGGCTCGTGCACTCATGCCAGCGTGCAGAAGCCGTGGCGCTATGGGGTTCGTGAGTCGTGACCGCAGCTGGGAGGAGAGGGGAGCGGCGGGCATTGGGAGGACCGGAGGAGGGCATCCCGTGGCGAATAATGGGACGAGCCCTCGGCGGCTCGGCCGAGCGGGTTCGAGAGTCTTCGTGATTGTCCAGGTTCGTCACTTAACGGGTGATAGATCTGCTAAGACCTTGATCGGACGGTTGATATTGCAAGTTCACCACATCCTACAGCTAATGGGTTAACGGGCGACGTGGCCCGATCCACTGGCCCGCTTTTGGTTCAGGATTCGTATTAAGAGAGATTGGAGCGATGCCTCGAGGTGTATGTGCCGCAATGCGTGAGAGGGATGGTTTTCTGTTCATTTAGGGCATGCTTCGAACATAGCAATTTTATAGGAATCATGTAAGAAATTTACAGAAATCAATTTAATTTCATAAAAAAAACACAGGTTTCAGGCTCCCGTTGGCCGGCACAAAAATGGAAGCTTTTGCAGAGGTCAAACTGCGAATTTCCGGCAGCCGCCGTGCCCAGGTACAGCCATCTGTTTGCAATAGCTTCTCCAAATGGATAGGTCGACGACTAGACGACGTTGCATCTCTGTATTTCTCCTTGAGAAGATTAGGTGTTTAGTATAAAAAGAATAGGGATGACGACGAGTGTAAAGAGTATGTTTGCTGGATCGTCTGCAGTGGTCAATAGTAGACTAGTAGTAATAATAATAGAGAGACGGTGCGATTGTCATTCAACGTAACCACGTTGAGTAATAACAAATAAAAACAACGTGACATCGAGCGAGTTACACGCTAGCTCTTTCATCAACAAAGAGCGTAATAAGAACGAAGAACAAGTTACACAATCCTGGCAGAACAGCTCCAAGCAAGATATACACTTCCATTTTGTCTTATACTTTAGTGCTGACCAAACTGTTATAACCATAGGATGGATCTAGGGTAGAACCGAGGACCTTCTAGGTAACCAGTTGATCCAAACAAGCCCTAGTATATCTAGACAGAGAGATGGAGACAGAGAGATAGAGAGATAGGGGTTCGAACCTGAGACCGTAGGGGTGGAAGATCCAGTGGCCTCCATCAGGTTCGTCGATGCAGTCTGCGCACGGGCAGCGATGGTCGGGGAAGATGTCGGTGTAGTTGCCGTCGTCGGAGCGGGGCGGCACGGCTGGTGGCTTCTCGTCACTGGCTGCATCCCTCTTGATCGGATTAGGGTTTGAGTATCGGTGGGGAGCTCGGCTCAGGTCAACCTCGTCATAAGAGCCGTCGGCCCCCACCTCTTTTTATAGCGCAGGGTGATAGGAGCCCTCCAGCCATGGTGGGCTGGGCGCCCCCGATCAGGGCGCGAATCAAAGGTCTAACTGGGCCGTTAGGTCCAGTTAGGTTAGAGATCAATCTAACAATCTCTCCTTTGATCTCTTTCCATATTTTCCTTTCATATCATTTACTTTTGTTCATTCCATTACAGATTAGCGCATAGAGCATGTCTCATCGTCACGGTTCATTGCCGATAGATTTAATAGCTATAACACACTACTCTGTTCTGAAATAGATACTTATCTTTGTGCCTTTTTTTGTCCAGGAATTATAGGCTTTCCCTTAAACCCATGGCGGCTACATGTTCTTTGAACACGTTGGGTAGTAAGCCTTTTGTAAGCGGACCCACGAGCATCTTTACT